TTTCTGCTGAAATCATTTACTCCTTCAAAATACGTTTGAAGTTGTCATTTTTGAAATTTAAATTTTAAATTCATAAAACAAAGTCACATGGAAAGATGACAAAAATAATAGCCGTAAGAACACAATAAATTGATAGAGCAGGATTTTAGAAAAATTTAGAAAAAAAAATCATCAAATTCGAAGATAGTACGAGGGAGAAAGACGAGTTACGAGTTTTAGTCAGAGATTAAAAAGAGAAATCAGACTTCAACAATTTAAAAATTAAATTTGAAATAATATTTTGAAATAGTAAATGATTTCAAATGAAAAAAAATTGTAAACATTAAAGTTCTATAATATTTTGAGATCTATAACTATTATTTTGGTCATTTCTCTATCTGAGGTTGTTTGAAAAATTCCAATTTTAATATTTAATTTTTAATATTCAATGTCTATTCGTTAGGGCAGCTGGATTTAGAGTCGCTTCTACAAATAGGACCTTTTGTAGGAGCAGCTGATAACACCAATAAATTCTACAAATGAATTTGTAAGAACGGCTCGTTTGATAATCATTTAAAGGGCGGCTCAATTTAGAGCCCGTAAAAAAGAGACGTCGTTGGGGATCATTTCTGTAGGAGTGAAAGGTGCCGACTGCACACTGTTGCTCCGTGCTACGTCGATACGTGCAAGTGCAAGACACAGTATTTTTCTCCTTCCTAGCGAGCTGTGTTACATCGTGTGTATACACTGATAACCCAGCTGATAAGCTGGCTGAAACTAATTTGTTGTGAGAAAAAAATACTATAGATTTTAGCTGATAAGCCGACTGATAAATTCAAGTAAACAGGCCTATCACTTTCAGTTGCTGATTGCAAACATCACTTTCAGTTGCTGATTGCAAACCAATGCAACTAATTTGTTGTAAGGAAAAAATACTGTAGATTTTACCTAATAAGCCGACTGATAAGTTCAAGTGAACAGGCCTATCACTTTCAGTTGCTGATTGCAAACATCACTTTCAGTTGCTGATTGCAAACAAATGCCCCACTACGCTATTATCCATGTCTCGTAACATGCCAAAGTTAACCATGCATACCTAGTACTAATAGCTAGACAACTACTCCTATTCCAAATTACAAGTTATTTCAACTTTTTAGAGAGTCAAAGTATATTATATTTGATCAAATTTATATAATAAAATGATAGTATTAATGATATCAAATATGTATCATTGATTCTTCATTAACTATATTTTTATACTACACATATTTAATATTATAAATCTTTATAATTTTTTTCATAATTTTAGTAAAATTTAAGATACTTTATCTCTCAAGAAAGTTAGAATAACTTAAAATTTGGAATAGGAGGACTACGCTGTAGCATTAGAACTGGAATCTTCCCTAAACTCTAGCTTGCCTGTACGTAGTACTATGATACTACTACCTACTACGTATACGTTACCTTTTGGATGTGATATGGCGGCACTAATACTGAGTCTAAACTCTAAAATCATGCAGGCAGCAGGCTGCAGGCACAGATTAAATAGGCGAGTCTTGCTCTCACACAACTTTTCCTTGACCAAATTGATCCACCATCCATTAGAAGTGTCACGGAGGCGAGGCGGCAGCAAACCACGCCTTTGACTGTGGGTTATAATCCTCTCGTCCGTCCAACGGTCCAAGAGGATTCGTGATTCGTGCACCGCGCGTGCGAGGGGCACAAAGAGCTCACTCACGGTCACGGCCCACGCACTCACGCAGACAGATCGGACCAATACCACCGGCAGGGCACACGGATTTGCACGGCGCCTCTCGGGCTCGGGAGCTCTCGACTCCCCAGCCGTTTCGTGTTCGTAGAAGTAGCGTGGGGCTTGTAGCCAATTCCAAGACGGTAAATACTCCTCCGTCTCTGAATAACTGCTTTCTAAAAAATAACTTTGACTAATTTTATATAAAAAATATTCGTAAAGATTTATGGTACATAATTAATATTATTAGGTAGATCATTGAATCTAGTTTCATAATAAATTTATTTAGAGATACGAATGCTAAACGTATAATATAGTCAAACTTGCGGTACGGAAACAAAAAAAAATAGTTATTTAGAGATGGAGGGAGTAGAACTGAACGCGTATACTACCGGTTCCTGCTGCTCCGTCGTCCACGTCGTCGGGGGTGTTTTTTTTTTGTCACGTATATTTATGATAACCAGAAATCCTTCGTATGTATTCCGTTACAAAGTAATAAAACTTCTAAAATTATCCTAAGACCTCGTTTGATACAGCTGGTAGAATTATTTTCTAGCTTCGGCTCAACGAGCAGCTCCATTAGCCAAGGTGAAACTATTTTGGTGGAATGTTTGGCAAACCAACTTCTCTTTGTATTGTCTTTGATGAGGACATCTTCTGCACAGATACAATTACATTAGCAACTTTTGATTCACAGGTGAAACAATCCTTTACCATGATTGTATTTGATACATTTGATGAATTGATGCTGCACCATGATGTGTGTTCATTGTCATTTTCAGAAATACATACATAGATAAAAAAAAGTGTTAAAGACATATGGAAGGCATGGAGGACCAAAGAAGTTGATTGGGGACCAAGTATAAGTATTCCCAACGTCCTCCACCAGGTCACCATGTCACTTTTGGTCCAAAGAAAGAAAGAGATTAAATCTCACACGTTTTGGGGCTGGAATCGGACTCTAGGACAGCTCCAATTTGTGATGTTCACCACAATCACATACGGACTCCGTTTTGGACGTTCAAGTACTCCATGGAAAACCTTATGAGCCTTGAATGAGAATGACTAAGAGAAGATAAATATCCAGGGAGTTGTTAGAAGCTTGTTTTCTCAGTTTCATCCATGATGCACCACCCTATGAGAGCACCTTTTAATAAGGAGCTCTGCGCAAGGAGCTGCTAAGATTTTGCTCAGTTTGGTAAAAAAAATGTGTGCTGAACTACTTTAGGAGCTGGAGAAGGATTTGTACCAAACGAGATCTAAGTAACACCATGTTAAATTTAGCTAAATTAGACAAAGAATATCGGTATTTATATCACCGAATTAATATCGTTAGGTATATCATGAAATAGAGTTTATAGCGTATTTATTTAGTGTTATAATTAATTATTGGTATTCCACTCTATAAAATTAGTTAAACTTTGGATAATTTATTAGGTTAAAACAACTCCGAAAGTCAATATTTGAGAGGGAGGAGTGAAGATCTCTGTCAACTCTTGTATTATCACATCACACCACGAGACGGAACATTGGCCTCCCAATATCTCTGAATCTTCATCTTTTCTAGATTAGATCTCACTTTGAGTTGTTCTAAGTTAAACTTCCTTTTTTACACGAAAAAGATCATGGTTTGGAATACATACATGGTCTTCGTTGATGGAAAAAGAATTATCATTAGATAAGGATGTGGGATAAACAATTCTTCGTTGTTAGTAGGAGGTGCAGCCATTTGTTGGTCAATATAGCTTGCAAGGAATGAAGTTATTTTTGGCAAATACCAGCCTAAAACTTTTTTTCGGCCTTGTTCAGAGGAACACACTGGTTACGACATTGGACGTAGTTACAGTTGTGTGATGGCGACGAAGAACATATTCACCAAATTTGCCGGGAGTTAGAAGCGGCGACTATGCATTTCTTTTCTTCCTTTAGATGGTTTAAGTTGAACGTTTTTTATGATACTTTAATCTTCTGTAATAAGTGGTTTGATTTTAATAGTGCTAACAGATGAAGCCGGATTCAATTCTTTTATTAAAAAAAATTAGACAAATACCTTTGGCTGGGCCGAATCTTCTACATGTGCTTTTGAATATCTTGTTGCATGGGCTCAGTTACATGGGAAGGCATACTTGGGCCAACACCGAGGATGCGGGGACAAAGCACATATAAGATAGCGTTTGGTTGGGAGTCGTGGAGTGGGATGGTCCCATCTCTGATTTCTGGGACGGGACGGGCACGAGATGACTCTATTTTTTGTTTGGTTGACAAGGGACAGGATGGAGGGTGGATTTGACGCCGTAGTTACTGTTAAGTGGGACCCACATATCAGCATCTTTTTTCTCATCCGGCCAGCAATTGTATTTTAATTGATAATTTGGCAACTGAATGGTAGGACAATTATATTTTAATTGATAATTTAGCAACCGAATGGTATATAAGGAAATTGAAGATGATTACCATTCACGGAGTCTAATTTCCAAAAAAAAAAATCGAGGTGTTAGTGCGGATGGGGAGCCACGGGCGCGGGCGTGGCCGGTGGGGAGCCACGACTGCTGCTGGCCACCGGCCATTGGCCCTTTTTTTTAACCGGGGAGCTTCCCCATTCCCGCTCATTTTTTAGCGGAAATACGCTAGGCACCGGGTTCAAACCCGGGTGGCCGAGCTCGCGGCTCACGATGCTGACCAAACGAGCGACTCGCTCGCCGCTGTCCACCGGCTACGGCGCTGCGCGCACGGAGCAGAGGAGAGAAGGAGGCGGGAGAGGGAGCCTGGAGGCCAGAGCCGAAGGCTGGATGGCGCAGAAGGTCCGCGAGCTGGGGCCGCGCCGTGCTTGACCGGCGCCGGAGAAGAAGAATGGCATCGAAGGAGAGAGAAATCGCTGGAGGAAGAAGATGCTCACGTCGTCACACGCGTCTATGTGGGACGCCCCCGTCCGCGCTTTTTTCTGGGACGATCTCGCCCCCAATTCTAGCAAATATGCCAGGTATATTCCCAGGTGGGATGTCCCAGTCTCCCTCGACTCCCAACCAAACAGATCAAAAGTGGACTTATCATATCCCCATCCCACTCTGTCCCTTCAACCAAACGGACCCTAAGTGCATGGCTTGCTGACGGTGGGCCTGAAAGAACGTTGGTCTGAAATAGATAATTAAGGGGAAAGAAAAGGGCGAATTGGGCCTAATTGATTGGAAGACAAAAGAAAAGGAATCTACCCTGCTCTGCTAATTTTCAGCCGAAATACAGACTACCGATTTTTTTTAAGAGCAAAACCTTATTACTCATTGGCTGCAGCGAAATCGCTGCCCACCAGACCCTCTACGAACAGAGGTACATCGTCCCAAATAACTCGATCGTCGTTGAGAACACGACACCCATAAGCTGCAAGAGTGTCAGCAACCTTATTACATAATCTAGGACACACAAAAATACTGAAGGAACTAAACTCCGACATTAGCAAGAGCCGGATCTCCGTGATGATTCCGCCACAGGCTGAAAGCCGATTTTCATCTCCTTCTATCGCCGTCTTGACAAGAGAAGCATCAGTCTCTAGGACCACTCGAGGCAATCCCATCAAGGCAGCCATTCTTACTCCCGCCAAGCATGCAAGCAGCTCCGCATCAAAAGGATTCAGCAGAAACTTCTTATCAGCCGCTCCTGCTTTCACCATCCTTCTTTGCCTGTGCGTGCACTTCAAAAGGAAACACGTCACAGATGATAAGGAAAAAATATACAAAACAAACAAAATTGGCTATTTTTTATTCAGCAATTGTTTTTGGGATTCTTCTCCATGCTACCTTTTAAGTGAGACGCCACAATGCAAATTAGGAAGAAATGCTATAAATAGATTAATTAACTTTCCCATTGGCAAACCATAATTTAGGAAAGAAATGACATGAATAGATCAATTCTTGCCTCAATCGTTGCGTGGCAACCATGATGTGGTTGCACGCCATGTGGAAACAAAAAATTACTCGTATGTTTTTTTTATTGATTGACATAAACGTCGCACTTTTGACGCTGATTATGAATTGATCTGTTTTTGACATATGGAAATGGATCTACACGCATGCATCTTATTGATACCCGACCTCGCCTATATATACACCCAACCCTGGGACTCTACTGTCGTCGCAACGCAAATAGCCACTCTCAAGCAGGGGAGCCACAATGACTTCCGACATGGGCGCCAGCGTCCACAGCCGCCGCTGCGTTGTAACCTTAATCCTCGCTGCCGCCGCGGGCCTAGTGCTTTTCGCGGCGGTGACGTCGGCGAGAGAGGCTCCCAACGACATTAGCGACGGTGAGCTGAAGCATAGTGTTCCCGGTGGCCAGGATCCGGTTTACGACCATTCACCACCGCCCTACAACATCATCAAGCACAAAGTTCCTAGCGGCCAGAACCCGGCATTGAACCGTTCATCGCCGCCCTACGACATCATCAAGCACGAAGTTCCAAGCGGCCAGAACCTGGTGTCGAACCGCTCACCGCCGCCTTACGACATCATCAAGCACGAAGTCCCTAGCGGCCAGAACCCAGTGTCGAACCGTTCCCCGCCACCCTACGACATCATCAGGCATGAAGTTCCCAGCATCCAGAACCCGGCGTCGAACTGTTCGCCGCCGCCTTACGACATCATCAAGCATGAAGTCCCTAGCGGTCAAAACCCGGTGTCGAACCGTTCACTGCCGCTGTACGACATCATTAGGCATGAAGTTACTAGGGGCTAGGACCCTCTAGTAAATCGTTCACCACCGCCGTACGACATTGTTAAGCATGCGTAATGTAATATAAAAGTTTTTTTTGCTCTTTCAGTTGGTGATCTTGTTTCTATGCGTTTTTTTGTCCTGTTCGGCTGTCTAGATAAATAGCTGATACTGATGTTGATGTTGATTTGTTGTATTATTTCGCTGATACGGTACGGCTGATAAGTTCGATCGAACGGGGTCTGTTTCTTCCCTCTATCTATTGTTCTTCGGTTCGTTCCACCGCTGTGGGTGATTATTGTTGTAGGCCTAAATCGTGTATGGTGGCCTGATGAATACGGCCCACGCTAAGGCTCGGGAACCGTGGCAAATCGACTATAAAAAAATTATCTAGATATCTTTTCTTTTTCATTTGTTATTAAAAATCATAGAATCCAAGATCGGCCGCGGCACTCACGCGAGATAATTTGATATATATATATATATATATATATATACTCCCCGTGAACCACGTGGTGTGATGAAGCACCAACTCATGGTTACATCACTGCTAGTCTGTCGCACAGGGCAAATCCAGGTGACACGCCATTAATTTTTTAGCTATATGCAAATCATACTCCATAATCTGTGAGAAAACTATTATGATTTTTTTGAATAAATAAGTCAGAATGCTGGCCTCGTGAGGTCCGCTGTGCTATTTGCAAATCCTCGCTGTCACAGGCATATACGCCCATAAAACCCAGGGGACCGGTGACTCGGAGGCCGGAAACCCACCAATCTTGCCCCGCCGCATTGTCGTTGCCGTCGCCGAAGATGGCGAGGGGCACCACCACCATGGAGGTGCGCGCAGACGGCGTCGCCGTCATCACCATCTCCAACCCGCCCGTCAACGCCCTCTCCCTCGACGGTATTACCCCAAAATCTGTTCCCATTCCCCGCGGACGCTCTGATTTTCCGCTCGTGTTGGTTCCTTAGTTTGGGGACTTGGCGTGGGGAATGCTCCTGGATCAATCGATCTTCGCTTCGCCAGTTCGCCTGAAACATTAGCTGTGGGAGAAATGCACTGTTCACTGCCTTGCCTGCTAGTGGATGAACAGTAGTACTGCCTCTTTTGCCTTGTGCGTAACCAGCGCTTTGTTCTTTGTTCCCGTCGTTATAGCTGTCTTTTGGAGTATGCTTTGTTTACGCAACAAGTCAACTTATGTCAGCTCTAGCGGAGTGGCTGTTGCCTCGTCCTCTGAGGGTCAATCATACATGCTGTACATTCTAGGATTGCTGTTTGTCTGGCCTCATAAAGCAATCTAGCAGTAGTAGTGCTCCACTTGCTATGTGAAACTGCTAATCATTGTTATCTGCTAAAAAAAACCTGCTAATCATTGTTCTTACTCATTCAACTTTGCACAATGTTTCTCCTAAATCAACACCACAGACCGTTAATGCACCAGGTTGATTGGCCCTCTCGTTTCCTTTTTGCAGTCATAGCTAGTTTGCAGAGTAACTATGCAGAGGCGCTAAGCAGGAATGATATCAAGGCAATCGTCCTCACTGGTATGCCACCAAAATAAGTTTCTTGTCAAGTGTCCTATGCTGGTGCCGTGTTTCTAGTGCTTTTCTTGTTGCACAGGTGCCAAAGGAAGGTTCTGCGGCGGGTTCGATATAGCTGCGTTTGGAAATAAGCCAAGTAAGAATGACAGTTCTGTACCAAGTTTGTTCGGGCCCTTTTCGCTCCTGAATAACTAAACACTTTACATGTCATCAGAAAATGAGAAGCCTGGATCTATGTCTATTGATTTCTTGACTGACGTAGTGGAAGGTAATTTATCATGCTCTTGCTCTAAACACGCAGATTGGTAAGCAGGTATTTTTCGATTATTGAGTCATTGATTGTTTGTTGCTGCCAGATGCTCACAAACCGTCAGTGGCTGCTATAGATGGCATTGCTCTAGGAGGTGGATTGGAGGTTGCTATGGTATGTCTAAGTTGTTTTTCATCGTATCATGCTTCAGATTGCTGTATTTTTTATTCAAATACTTGGCTATTTGTTATACATCGAAAACTCTTTCTGTCCAGGTTTGCCATGCTCGCATTTCAACACCGTCAGCTCAATTAGGACTACCTGAACTTCAGCTTGGAATCATTCCTGGAATGGGAGGTATTCTCAACCCCCAACATATACTACATATACTCTCACAAATGCCCCAATATTTTCTCAAACACCACTGTTTGTGGTGTTTTAGCCTTAGGCCTAAACGTTATTATGTTTGACCCTTCACCTATCTCCTTTTGGCAAAAGGGCTCTTGCATCCATGTTCAGATTTCCACGATGAATGGTATATGAAAGCATTCCTGCCACAAAAGTAGAATTAAATCTTCTGTAATTCTCAAAGATACATTGACATATTTTCTGTACATACTAGAACCATAACATGTTGGAGTTAGCTCCTCCAAACAGGCCTGATGTGTTCTAGTGGATGAACACTAAATGCAGTTTCCATACAGCGGGAATTGGGAAGTACAAAGAAAAATAGTTTGCTAGCAAAAGTTCGGCTGAAGTACTCCTACTCTAACTATAATAATTATTTAAAAGGTCATGTTCTGGACATATTACTGCTAATCATACTGCTAACCGTGTGCTGAACATATTAACCATTCAAGATAGCAAAATATTTACCCACAAACTGTAACATAGTTAGGATTCAAAGTTCTAAATAATTACATTTTGTCAACTTCTGTAATAAGATAAGATAATGCCAAGAGGTGTCTTCCTTGATTTTTTTTTTCCATTTTCTGTGTTGAAGTTCTTAACTTTTTACAGGGACACAACGTCTTCCCCGTCTTGTTGGCCTGCCAAAAGCCCTTGAGATGATGTTGGTAAGCTTGAATTGTATTAGTATAAGTTGCAGTGATGGTCATGACACAAACCTACATAGACTGTTGTTGACTCAGTACTGGTGTATTCTCCTAATAGATGTCAAAGACTATAAAAGGCACGGGGGCACAAGAAAGCGGCTTAGTTGATGCTGTTACTTCAGCTAATGAATTGGTCAACGCTGCCTGTTCCTGGGCTCTAGAAATTGTTGAAAAGAAGAAACCATGGTTCAGAAGTCTCCACAGGACTGATAAACTTCCAGATCTTGCGGAAGTGAAGGATGTTCTGAAATTTGCAAGAGTTCAAGCTAAAATGAAGGCTGCTAATGTTCAGCATCCCATAGTTTGCATTGATGTTATTGAAGAAGGAATAGTCTCTGGCCCGCGTGCAGGTCTCATGAAGGTAAATCACCAATTGGTGCTATTTTATGTTAGTATTGCCCCAGTGCTTCTTAGTATATTTTCATTTTCTAACAGGAAGCCCTCTCTGGGAAAATGCTTGAGCAGTCTGAAACAAGCAAAAGCTTAAGACACTTTTTTTTCGCTCAGCGTGCTACTTCAAAGGTTGGTAGAAATATGAGGTCAAAGCATCTTCAACATATCCATTTTCATTCATATAATCAGCCATATTCAGAACTTTGATTTATTTGTTGCAAATCCTTTTAAGAATGGTTGTCATCTTTCATGCTTTTTAACCAAATATGTTGATGGTCACAATAAATTTATTTATTGTAATTTATAGATAAATCAAGTTATGGTATGAAATTGAAGTTCATTTCTGGATATTTGTGATGTAGTTGCAGGATTTTTGTTACTCTAGTAAACTTCTTTTCAAGTGCCTTTATAACATAAATATAAATATAATTGTATCTCAAATTACACATGCTAGCCCAGTTCTTTTGTTAGAGAGATGCATTACAAATCCATGTTACTACCTTTCATTTATCTGATGATATTAACCTACCACCACCAGATTCCAAATATTACCAACATGGGTTTGACAGCACGGAAAATTAAAAAGGCAGCTATCATTGGGGGTGGTCTAATGGGATCAGGCATTGCAACAATATTGATATTGAACAACTTCAATGTTGTCCTGAAAGAAGTAAATGAACAGTTCTTATCTGCTGGCATTAACAGAATTAAAGGTATATTTTATTCACTTCTCTTAATTTTATTGGGATTGCCTTCAAAGTTCCTCAGAAGTTTGTTCTCTTGTTCAGCCAATTTGCAGAGTTTCGTCAAAAAGGGTCAACTTACTGTAGAAGATTATAAAAAGAAACTTTCTCTACTATGTGGTGTTCTTGACTATGAACAGTTCAGAGATACAGATGTAGTCATTGAGGTAGACCCAATATATATCTTCACCACTCTCTGATTAATATGAGATAGCGCTGCTTATTCAGCTTTGTCACCTATATAGAGAGGTAGTTTTAACAAAGTTATACCATATGCTTAGGTATAATGTTATGTGTTTCTTATAACATCAGAACCAATCAAGTGCTCCCTCCGTTCCAAATTATAAGACGTCTTATAATTTGGGTCGGAGGAAGTATCTAAGAAACAAAGAAAAAAAAAATTCTTACGGGAGGGTTAAGGATGAAAATATTGTAATGGCTACTTGGCAAAAACCACAAAACTCCTACCTTTGAGTGTGGTTTGAACTATTGATTTATGTTATTGGAAGTTACCTGTTACACGTCTGATCCGGACCCCCCCTCGTCTGGCCAAATGGGCCAGGAGAGGCCTAAGACGGAGGGCCACCTCATGGCGTGGCAAGGGAGGTGTCTTGGCCAGGGGGTGGGCCACCGCCGCCACTCAATCCCCCCGATATCTGGGAGGATTCGGAATAAAAGGAAGTTTAGGAAATAAATAGGAAAAGGAAAATAATTAGAGAATTGTTTAGGAAATAAGGATCGAGTTTGTTTAGGAAATAGGTTTGCTTGGAATGTAGAAGTCCAAATCTATAAGGACTCTAAATAGGGGTTACTTGGAGGTCAAGTCTAGATTGCTCAGGGGTCAAATCTCCCAGGCCTATAAATAGAGGTGTGATGTAACCTTTCAATCTTAAGCAAGAATAGAGCTTTGCTCTTTAAACCCCAAGCGCCCCCCTCTCTCTCTCTCTCTCACTGCCGCTGCCCAACCCCTGCACCCGC